AAGAAAGAAAACATCATGTTAAAATCCCTCCAAAACTAACTCCCCGCATTATTTTCCCAAAACTAAGTCTGTTTCATTACTATTTCTATTTTAATTTTCATACCAAAACCCAAAATCACCTCGTCTTCTTCTAGTCTTTTGTTCTTTTCTATTTCATTACTATTTCTCTTTCGTTCTTTTCATTTCCAAAATTTCTATTTAATTTCCAAAGTCTCTTCCTTGGGTAAGCAAAAACCCTAAACCAATTGTAGTAGGTAAGTTTCAAATCTCTCCATTAGGTTCCAGCAAGATTGTAGCTTCAATTTTGGTTTCAATTTCTTTTTGAACCTGATATTCATTTTGATTTTGATTTCTTAGATTTTAATTTCGCATTATCTTTTGTGTCTTCTCCTTTGAATCTCATCAAGTACTCCAAGTTTGTGTCTTCTTCTTAGATTTTCAAAATCCCTTGTTTGTGATTTTGAAATTTGAGAAGTGAACAAATGAGGAACATTCGGCCAGTGGCGATGAGATGGTCAAGGTAACGAGCCTCATCGTTTGGTTGTGCAAGAAACAATCGAGGGAGGTGGGAGCTACGCTGTTGCCACCACAATCACTTTTTAGCTCTAAGTATATCTCTTTCTTTCAGATCTCCTTTGTTTACTTTTTCATTAGATTCATGTCTTTTTGTCTCTTGTTTGCTGAATCATTTTGGTGGAGTTCTCTGGCACTGGGAACACTAGACCTTCTTTCTTCACTTTCTGCATGTGATTTTTTGTTTCCAATTTCAACTTTATATTTATTCTTTTGTGATTTAGTTTCTTGATTTAGCTTTAGTTTCAAAAGTTGCTGTTAAAGGTTTTGTGGTGTTTTCCAATTTCAATATTAGCATATCTAGTCATTCCTTTATTTTTTAAGTTCAACAGCATCATTGTGGCTTGGACCTTTCTTTTCTTATTTAATGTAAGCTTAATGTGAGTTGAATTCTATGTTGGTGCAGGCCGTTGACACTTGCTTAAGCAGTGAAGCTTAGGAGAACAATTGCTCCTAAGGAGAAGGAACTTTCAAATTGTGAGTCTATTTCTCAATTTTGGTCATTATTAATTGAATTCTGTGTTGTATAAACTTGTTTGGTTACAACAATTGTATAAGTAATTTGCCTATTTTGCTATTCAAACAAGTAATCTGGCTATTTTTAATTGAATTCTATGTCTTTTGAACTTGTTTCATTGTTTAAACTTGTTCATCCCAATTTACACATTTCACAGAGAGGATTCTTCTCTGAGTTTTTGTTGGTCACTGACCAACATCACAACTTTTACATTCATGTTTATGCTGACTTCCCTTGCTCATTGTTCTCTTGGAAATGAGCCAATTCCAACCCTTTATATATATATATATATATA